TTGATTGATTGATTGATTGATTGATTGATTGATAGATTGATTGATTGATCGATTCATCGATTGAAGAAAGATGCTAAAATTAGTGGATGCACGCCATACCTGGAAAGGGGAAAAACGATTTGTCTTCAGGATTCATTCCAGGACGAGCTGCCTGAATGGCAGTACTATTATTCACTCTCTTGGAATAGTTTTCTACATCGGCTGGTTTTTCACTGGTTTCTTGTTTTGCCATCTTGGCCATGGTAAACGTCGTTTTCTTGAGACTATTAAGGAAACCAGCTTCGAGGAACAGAGAGAATTTTAGAAATTTTGCATTAAGAACAATGAGTTAACTACCGAATGGGAATTTGCGGAAAATTATGGGAAAATGATAAATCATTAGGGAAGAAAGATATAATTATTAAAAATGAAATGCAAATTTGGATTATGGCAAATAAGGATTTCAGTCTAAATAGTAGAATAAATAAAAGGATAGTATCAAATGAAACTTTCGCTGTTATTTGTAAGATCTTAATATGTGATTCCAAGCTTCGAAAAAGGAACACAGAGTTATAGAACGCTGAGCGATCAAGGCTAACCAAAAATATCAAATAGGAAGATAGAATCGAGTGGTACAGTACAGTCAACCTTCGCTTTACGGACACCCCGCTATAACGGCCGCCTCGATAATACGGACACAAAATACTGAATCCCCGGCGAAAAATACAAAGAAATGACTGACAATAACTTCCGTTATTACGGATTCTGGCTAGAGCGAATTTCGTATGAGTGGGAAACGGACGGTACTATACTGTGACCGTAATCGTGCTGTAACCAAATTCTAGTGCCCCATTGGTTCACCAAAATTGTGCAGGCCAGGTGCGGTAACTGTGCGGTAACTATGCGGTAACGGTGTCCCACTCATACGAAATCCGCTCTAATGCGGACACTAAATTACGGTCCCGAGGGTGTCCGTAATAGCGAGACTTGACTGTAATTAGAATATCAGGTCTTGTAGTTTTTTGCATTCCTCGTTAATTTGAGTTCTACACTTGCGAGTGGAATAAATAAATCAGAGAAAACGAACAAAACGAAGAGCCAACAAGAGTCATTTTAAGAAGTACTTTCCTATCTCATCACACTTACCCATGACAGAAACGGGTTCTTCCTGCTTTTCCTTCTCACTTCTCAACACAACACTCGACACTTGAGAATTGCTTTGATCTGATGTGGCGGTCTTCTCGCTGTCTGTATCTGAAGCGAGTTGTTTCTTGCGGATGCCATCAGGTGAGGGCGGGTTTGACACCGAGTACATCAACTCTTCCGAGTCATCACTGGGAGCCGAGTACGAGTCGCCACTACTCAGTGAGCCAGCAGCTGAGTCCGATGAGGTGACAGTGTCAGACCGTTTGTTTTGTCTAGTGTGTGAAAGAGAGTCGAGTTAACTCATGCTAAACTCCATTCGACATGTCTGATACTCCATACAACAACATTAAACAGGGTTGATGAAACTCAATCCAACACTATCAAACAAGTTGGCAAAAAGCCTTCAAACTAAGGCTCCTCTTCAGGCATCACTAAGAATCACGGGCTTCCTGTCTTTTTTGGGAGTCAAAAGAGAGAGAATGGGAACGAGAGATGGGAGGCTTATTTCTCCTTTCTGTCACTAGTCCCAAGAGAACCGTTAGAAATGAAGCCCAAAGGAGGAAATACAATTGCCTGGGTAGGAGGCCACTTCAAAATGCTTACATCATTTTTGATCCTCAACTTAACAATATTCAACGCTTTAAAACATGGTCAAACTTTTTAATATTAATTCACCCCGTCAATGTCTGATAGAGTGTGCTATTCTACAATCTTTTGCAAAATTATGTGAAACACTGTGTATGATTGTGTTACTACAATCTCCCCCCTTTTCACAATGTTGTTCGTCAATAAAATACCACAAAATCGACAAGGAGGCGAAAGTAACGTGTGTGCAACCTTGCAGTGGGGGGAGGGGACAGGGTGTTCCGTTTATTTTGCATATGATTGTAGTACTTCTCCTTGTAAAGGCTGATTTACACGCCACGATTGTCTCGTGCGATTTGTAGTATACGACTTGAATCGCGCAGTGTAAATGCCCCTACGACTTGTCTACAACAGT